GGCACATAACAACATCCTTACTCCTATCTCCTGCCTGTCTCCTGTGGCCACCTTTTTTCTCCTGCTGCTTCTTACCATCTTTCTCTTAATTGCCTGTATGTGTCCTTGTTCCCAGGCCCGGAATTCCATTCTTGGTATTGCGCTCTTGATGGTATACACCTCTGGAGTGGCTCATTTTAAAATGACTGGATGGCAAAACACACCAATCCACATGTTAGGATTCTATACAATTTATTTACATGGTCCCACCTCCACAATGGACACATGCATCTTATTTACATTATTTGTAAACCATCCAATCCCCCTATCTGATTAAATTAACAGTCTGAGGGGAACCAGTGCTGAGTTTAGGGGATAGTTTCACATTTAGCCAGTTGTGAACAGTAGATGCCAGTTCCGGTGCTTTACATATTAAAAGGCATGAGTGATAACAACATTATATACCCGTTTATGAGGTGCCAAATAAGACCTACAATCCTTGAAAAATTTAGCCATGAACTCCAATCAAATCTTAACACACCAGGTTAGTTTAAACTGTTCACTGTCCCAAAAATGAGTACGTACTACTTAAATTATTTGGATTCTGTGACCAATATAATACGGTCTATCTTCAAGGACCTGGACCAAAAAAAATCCCACACAAACTAGACGCTCTAAAGACAGGGTCTTTAGACAAGGGCAGACAAATATGAATACATAGTCTGAATGTGCAATAGACCTCCATGAACTTCCTACAAGGTAGCTGTTATTGTTATGTGCCGTCGAGTCGTTTGCGACTCATAGCGACCCCATGTACAACAGCCCTAAACCCTGCTCTATCCTGTGCCAATCTCATTGCCTCTGACAAACCCATCCCGATTACCCCGGTCACTGAATCAATCCACCTCATAGAGGGTCTTCCCCTCCTGCGCTGTCCCTCTACTCTACCCAGCATGATGTCCCTCTCTAAAGACCTGTCTCTCCTTACAGCGTCTTTAGCCAAAGGCATACAAATAAGAATACATAGTCTGAATGTGCAACAGACCTCCATGAACTTCCTAAAAGGTAGAGACAATGTAAAACTCCAAAAGCCCAAACCGGAAACTAGGTTATCTGGTGTCACGTGGGCACCAGCCCTTCGGCCGCGCCTTCTTGCCTGGCCGGAAGTGGCGTGTGCGCCTGCTCAGTGCACGGTTGGTCGGTGTGTGAGTCGCTGCCGGTCCCTCCGGGCCGCCGTAGAGTTTGCCACAGGCTGGCTGGGGAGCAATGGAGGTGGTGGGCGGCGGCGGCGGGGACTGTCGCAGCTCCTCCTCCGCAGACCCGCGGAGCACTTACGTGCTGGGTAACCTAGCAGAAGTGGTGGAACGTGTACTTACCTTCCTACCCGCCAAGGCGTTGTTGCGGGTGGCCGGGTGAGGACAGAGGAGACGGGATGCTTATTTAAGGACTTGCCTCAGGCATGCCTGGGGCTGGTGGGGAGGGCAGAGACCGTCGTGACCCCGGCTTCCCTGCCTTTTGCCTTGAGATGACTCCCCCCCACCTTGAATTCCTGTCGAAGTGTTTGCTCTCAGTGACTCTTCCCTGAGGGACTAAGCTAGCTTTTCTCCGAACCGCCACTCCCGGGGACCTTGAATCTAGATGGGGTCTCCAGCCGTTAAGCTGATGGGGGTGGGGGTATGCAGGCAGCTGAAGAGGTGGAAATGAACATCCAATCCCATCTCTGTGCGTTTGCATCCCCAGCGTCTGCCGCTTATGGAGAGAGTGTGTGCGCAGAGTGTTGCGGGCCCATCGCAATGTGACCTGGGTTTCTGCCAGCCGGGCAGAGGCCAACCACCTGGAGAGGCATTGCTTGGTCCGCGCGCTAGCAGAGGAGCTTGAGGCAAGTAAGGGGTGTCCTGCACAGCCCGTTGCCTGGTTGATTGGATAGTTTGGGGTACCTTTCATGTTAAGTCGCAGTTTTGTATATGGCTTTAATTTCTTTGTAATGTAAGGAAGTATTTTCCTTTTCCATGAAAGAGATTCTGTAATCGATAAGTTTAATAATTGTATTTTTAAAGGCTGTTGTTATGTGTTGACAAGTGAGAACCGACCCATAGCTAAACCTCTAGGGGCTTGTCAGAAGCAGTACATTACGTGGGAGGAGATGGTTGGTCTTTCTCCCGCAGGTGTATTCCAGCCCATTGATTTTGGGTTGCCAACGGAAATCCTTACCCACCGAAACTTTTTAAAAGAATGTGTCATGTTTTATTTGATTATATGTTACACATTAGAAATTTTAATTATCCAAATTTTCACTATTACCATAATCTTGTGCAAAGACTTGCCTTTACCTGCTCCCCTTGAAGCAAGTATTGTTTCCAGAAAAGGTAACTGTATCTCACTCAGTGTTACATGTCTAGGAAGCCAGGAACCAAAACTTAAGTATTTTGACTTTCAATATAGAACTCTCGGGTATTAAATCTCAGGGCCCGAGCTTAAAAAGGGAGGACAGAATTTGATCTTCAACTGAGGATGGTTTAAAAACTCGAACTATAGACGGCCTGGCTCTTTACCTTTGACGAAGAGTGGGTGGGAACTATTTAAGAGTAAGTTGTCAATCAAATGCTCTTTCATTCTCTTCTACTTTAATGTTATTACATGTTGATGCATAACAGACCTTCCAGAAGGTTTCCAGGGACTGTGAATTGCAGCCTTGTGAATTGGAACTGCCAAGCTTTGGGTTGGCAGTGTGACTCCTTACAACTCTAATTTTATTACTTGTATTACCACTTATATTTTAATACAAAGACTGTCTTGCATAACCATAATATAGTCACCAGACTAGGATATTATTATTGCTGAATTTCCATTATCTAATCTTCTGACCTTTTTAATCTGTATGCTAAACAAATCATTCAAGAAGCTGGATTTTATGAAGAAGAATGTAGCATCAAGATTGGAGGAGTATTTACCAACCTGCATTATACAGATGACACACCCTTTTGCTCAAAGTGAGAGTGACTTGAAGTGCTTATTGTAGAAGATCAAAGGCTGTAGTCTTCAGTAGGGTTTACATCTCAACATCAAGAAAGAAAAATCTTCACCACTTGGCCAATAGGCAGCATCATGATAGATGGAGCAAGATTGAAGTTATCAACAATTTCATCTTACTTTGATCCACAAGCAACACCCCTGGTACCAGCAGTCTAGATCAGAAGACATACTGTACTGGAGAAATCTGCTGCCAAGGACCTCTCCATATTTCTAAGGAGTAACGATGTTAATTTAGTGCATCTGATTCAAGCCATGGTCTTTTCAGTTACTTGTTGTGCATCTAAAATTTGGACAGTGAATAAGGATGACAGAAGAGAAATCAATGCCTTTGAACTGTGGTGTTGAGAATAGAACAAATCAAAGTCTTGAAGAAAGGGCAACCTGGGTTTCCTTAGTGGCAGGAATGGTGAAATTTCATTTCACGTCTTGGGGGGAATGTTAGGAGGGGCTGTTTCTTGGAAAAAGTTACCATCCTTGGAAAGGTAGAGAGTTGGCAAAAGAGAGGAAGACCCTCAAAAACATAAATTGACACAGTGACTGTAACAGTGGGCTCAAGTATATCAGAGATGGTGAGGATGACACAGGACAGCTCAAGTATAATTCTGCTGTTCATAGGGTCACAGTGGATCATAGTCAACTTGATGGCACCTAGCAACAATAGCAGTATTCAGACAGGTGCCCTTGTTGTTATGTGCCGTGGAGTCATCTGTGACCCCTAGCAACCCGGTGTACAGCCATCACCCTCTGCTTCCACAGTCACTGTATCCATCTCATCTGGGGTCTTCCTCTCTTGCACTGTCCCTCTACCCTTCTAAGCATGATATCCTTCTCCAAGGACCGTCTCTCCTGGCCACGTGCCCAAAGAATGTGAGATGAAGCTTCAAAATCCTAGCCACCAAGGAGAATCTTGGCTTCACCCTCTCCAAGACAGATCCATGTGGTAGGGAATTGCACTGCTAACCTGAAACACATGCTTTGAATATGCCAGGAGTTTTTCAGGAGAGAGACAGGCTGTTTCCTAAGCAGTTTATAAGCCTCTGAAAACCCACTGGAAGCTCAGCTAAGAATTAGTTCTGACTTGATAGCAGTTTTCAGATTGAGTCTATTCAAATTTTTCTAGTTCACCAAGTGATAATCTTTTAGGCTCTTGTTAGATGTCAGTTTGGCTCCAATTCATAGCAAGCAACCCTGTGTATGAACAAAACCCTGCCTACTCCTGTGCCGTCCTCACAGACTGCTGTGTTTAAACCCAGTGCTGCAGTCACTGTGTCAGTCCATCTTATTGAGGATCTTCCTTTTTTCACTTTATTTTTTTTCAGGCATGATTTCTTCTTTCTCCAGGGTCTGGATGTCTTGTTATAATACTTCACTTTGCTTTCTTGAGCTGCCCTTTAAAATCTTCTATTTTCATATTTCTTCCCTTACTTTTAGCTTCCCTACATTCAAAAGCAAGCTTCTGAGTCTCTTCTGACATCCATTTGGTCTTTCCTGTTTAATAACTTTTGATTTGTTCATTGATGATGCCCTTGATGTCATCCTACAACTCACTTAATCTCTAATCATTTTTTGTTTAGTGCATCAAATCTGTTCTTGGTATGGTCTCTCTATTCAGGTGAGATTTGTACAGGGTTGTATTTTGGCTCTCCTGAACTTATTTGATTTTTTTTTTTCTGCTTTCATTGATCTTGTGTGTAAGCAGTTGATATTCTATTCTAATGTTGGCCTCTGGGCTTGTTCTGACTGATGATACTGATCGTCTCTTATCTACTCTTTCTACAGATGTAGTTCATTTGATTCTTGTGCATTCTATCAGAGGAGGTCCACAACACTATTTATGTTTTCAGAAAAGATATCTACAGTGAATAAGTTATTGATGATACAAAATTCTGTCATGTGGCCTCTTATGACCAAGACCCTGTTTTCCAACTGTCAGTCCTTCTTTGTTGCCAATTTTTTGCATTCCAACACACAGTTTTATTGTTAATGCGTTTTGAGTGCATGTTCATTTTCAGACAGAAGAAATAAGGATTTCTGCCACCCTCTGCCATCTGAAAATTGAATATGCAACCAGATACCTTCATGTTATTTATAATAATTGCTTTTACTTGTCCTGTGCTTTTAATCTCAGTGGCTCTAGAGCAGTTTTTCACACTTTTCCTGACTTTTACAGTCTTGTCACTTAAGAAAACTACAGCTCTTTCCAGCCAGTACGGTGCGATGGGTATTTCCTGGGACAGTGGACAAAAGTGCCACAACACCAGAGCCAAGAAAATACCACACACAAGAAGCAGAAGTATGAGTTGGGAAGCTTGGTTGCCAACATGAAGACTGGCCTCCACCATATACAGACAGTTTGTGTGAGGAGGCCACCCGTTGAAAAGGCACGGTACTAGCAGTGCCGTGCCCTAGACTGGATGTGGGGAACGTTGGGGGCTCTGAGTGTTGTATTTGCAAAATAAGGATTATTGATGTTGTTTACAGTGCTTCCATTACAGTGCAAGCATTGTGCTAGTTGACCCTGTGCCCTCAGTGGTGTGAATCCCACTGTGCACTGCCTCTGGGTTGCAAGAACATGGCCACCCTGACTCTTGAAGAGGAAGGGATTTTAAACAGAATGCAATCAAAGAAAATTCAGAAAAAAAGTCCAAAAATCAGCATTTTTCCAGAGTAGCAGTCCCAGCAAGTCAAGCTTCTTGTATGTATCGCTGCCAGGCCAGGCCAGTATGATTGCACAGATGGCTGTGTTTGTGCTGGAGACAAGGAACTGGAATTCTGAGGAAAATCAAGTAATGGAAAGGCAAATAAAGCTCCCTTCCTCATTTTAGCATATATATTAAAAGTGTTTATTCTTAAAGAAAATTACAGGTCCATTATTTTGTAGAACATCAACCATCGGGAAATTGTCTTAGATTCTTGTGCATTTTGGGCAAGAGTATAACAGAAGTGGTATTACATTCTTGCAGTCTTTTAACTGGCATATGTTTTCCATTTCTCCTATTACTGGTAAGAAGTACCTTTGATAACTTGAGCTATCTATTTTAAAATTATTCACTTTTCCCCTCAGTGGTTTGAAGAGATTCTTTGAAACTATGTAAATAACTGTTAACAGTCAAGTTGATTTTGATTTACAGTGTCTGCATAGAACCAAGCAGAACTGTCCCTCCGGGCTTACTTCCCCAAAGCCGTGAACTTACATGGGCGCTTCATTGGTCTGGAAGGTCCAAACTTTCCGCCTTTACATTAGCAGTACTGAGTGTTTAACCACTAGATCGCCAGTGCACCTTAAATCATTAATTTATGTCTCATAATTTACTATTTTGTTCATTGAGATATAGATATAATTAATATTTATTAATATTAATATTTATTTTGTTCATTGCCTCCACTTTGGCTAGTTGGAGCACCTGTGTAAGAATTGGATGAGTCTATGGATTATGAGTTTCTCACCTTCCCTGACATCACAAGGAGAAAGAATTTTCATCAATAACACAAAATTCTTAGGAAGTCAGATACACACAATATGCTAAATCTTGTAATAGTTCATTACTTCAACTTGGAACTCACTGATTTTATACTGATTTTCATAACCATTACTGTGACCACAGATCTCTTAAACAACACTCATGGTTACGAATTTCATTGCAGAAGGAACTGGTTACAGTTTGTGTCTGGGAGTACACAGGATGGAGTTCTGTGGTCAGAACAGCCTCTTCTCAGGCGTGCCCACAGTCAGTTCATCCTATCCTGCTCGAGCCTGTATGTAGCCCCATCAGTTAGCTCAGCCACAGACTCTGAGGTACTTGAGTTTAGCTTTGTGGCTCAGGATTGACAAACCAGCAAAAACTTGAATGTATCCACTCTGAGAAAGTAAATCTCCTACCCAGAGGCACTTGCCTTCTTGCCCCTTGGTCTGGGGGCCCCCACACACATTGATCTTGCCCTGGACTCTGGCTCTTCTCCTTCACGCTGCCGCCACCATCTTAATTTCCTGCTGTCTCTCTGGTTTTACAACTCTCCATCTCTGGTTTGTGCAGGAATCTCACGTTCAAGAGATCTTCTTTATTGGTGATAGTGTGAGTCCCAGTTTCCACTCCTGCCATGGCTCAAATTGAAATCTTGGTAGGGCAAAAGCAGCCAGTCTACATTAGCGTTCTGCACATTTTTATTTGCACAGGAGCTCTGGTGGCTTAGTTGTAAAGAGTTGAGCTGCCAATTCAAAAAGCAGGTGGTTTGAATCCATCAGCTTTGTGAGAAAGATGAGTAATCTTCTCCTGTGCTCTTTACAGCCTTTGAAAAGCCTCTCAAGGATCAGCTATGAGTTGGTTCTGACTCCTAACACTGTAATGGTAACATCCTAAAGGGACCATTACTGTATTTCCATTATTAGTCAGCTTCAGTTCCTAATGGAGCTGCGATGGCATAATTTGTAGCAAGTCGCACTCCTTACTCACGTGAGTCTCTGGCAGTTTAAGGCCCCTAGTGCGAGAACTAATGGGCTGTGTCTCCTTGTGTTGTGATTTACGTCAGAAACCATCCCTGTGTATTTGGAGCCTACTTGATGGGAGCAGGTTAAGTTTCTGATCCAGTCCTTTTGGTGGCCCATAGACATGAGGAAAATAAGAATAGGGGAAAATAAGAATGAATACGATATAACTGATACACTGCTGCTCAATTACTGAGGGAATGTAGAAAAGAGTTTCTAAGGAAGAACATAAGATGACTTTTGAAGAAAATAATCATCAGTCAGATGCAAAAATTTATCTACAAGATGTATGTAAAAGCCAATGTGGCAGTATTCTAAGGACACTTTGGTGGCCTCTTGTTTTTGTTAGGGGCCACTGAGTACGACTCAGCGACACTGGGAGAGGAACAGCCTTTGGGTTAGCAGCCCACCTCCCTTTGGATGTGCACTGAGAGCAACCCAGGACACTAGGGCAGGGCCAGCTATGCAGACCTGGAATATGTCATTTGATAAGCAATGAAATAGGGAGTCTGTTTACCTTTCCACTGTTGAAATGTTTCTATTACTGTGATACCTATTCAAATGAAAAAAGTGACATCACTTACTTTTTAAATTTTATTTAAAAACTTTACTATCACTATGCAAATGGACTTCTTGGAAACTGGAATGTTTTGCTTGAGGAAATAATGTGTGCTATCAAGTTAATTCTGACTCATAACAACTAATACAGCAGATTAGAACTGCCCTGTAGTTTTCATGGGAGCAATTTCAAGGCTTTTTTTTTCTCTGAAGCCACTGATGGGTTTTGAACCCCCCAACCTTTTGTTAGGCAATCTCGTTCTTACTCATTGTGCCACCAGGGCTCCAAGGAATAATAATAATAACTTGTTAAAACCTGCAAACACCCAAATTCACTGTCATCTAATGTTGTTATGTGTTATTGAGTTACTTGCAACTCATAGCGACCCTACGTAATAGCCCTGAACCCTGCTCTATCCTGTGCTAACTTTAATGTCTCTGACACACCTACCCCCATTACCACAGTCACTTGAGTTAATTCATCTAATTCAGGGTCTTCCTCTATTTCACTGTCCCTCTGCCTTCCTAAGCATAACTTCCCTCTCCAAGGGTTGGTCCCTCCTTGCACTATGCCAAAATATGTCAGATGAAGCTTCAGAATCCTTGCCTCCAAGGAGCAGCCTGGTTTAACCCTCTTCCTGATGAACCTGTTTGTTCTCCTGGCAGTCCATGATATATTTAGTACTCTTCTCCAGCACCACAGCTCAAGGCATCAGTTCTCTTTCTATCATCCCATAGTCATTGTCGTAACACGTAATTGCAAAGACAGTAGGCCCAGCGAATCATCTTGTAGGCATATGGTAATTGAATTAGCAGAAAATGAAAGAATTTTAAAAAAAAAATAAAAAGGAAAGAAAATCAATGAGGTTCAGAAGTGAATGATCTTGGTATATTAAGCTTGGAGAGAAGAGCACTTACAAATCCATGTGATCCAGTTCTTTCTTTTCCTTCTCTGCAGAATGTTCGCATTTTACCACAGACGGTTTTATACATGGCTGACTCAGAAACATTTATCAGTCTGGAGCAGTGTCGTGGCCACAAGAGAGGTGAATATCCAAACCTGTAGTCTTCTTTAAGTACCTTCTGTTTGGAGTTAAATACTCTACTAATATTGAAGCTTTCTGAGACTCTGAGCCTACCACTTAAAGTATGCACAAAAAGGATCTTTGAATGTTGAGTACTTTTTGCTCTAGAGATGGATTTTTGAACTGCATAGAAGCTGGAACATGGTCCATTTATGTAGATTTTGTGATTTGAGTGAAAGTTAACAAAGCAAATTTGTTTTCTATTCAATGAAAAATATTCTTCTAAAAAGTAGGTTTTTATTTTTAAATCCTCCTGATACTTGTCTAGTATTTCTCTACTGAGTCTTCTTCTTTGGTGTTTGAATTATTCTTGTTTACCAAAATTATCTACAGATAACATCATGCATTCTTGACATGCAAAGGGAAAAAAGCAGGCCAAATGTCCTCATAAAGGAACCCGGGGCTCAGAGTTGGAGATAATGGTAATCATTGATTGTCTAATTTGGATTTAGTTGACTACTTATGCATAAGTATTTCTGCTCTCTCAATTAAACAGAAAGGTAAATAGCAAGTCTAAAATTGAGTTACTGATGCTAAATTTCATGTCATTAGAGAGAAAACAGTCCACCCTCTCCTCATTTATCAACTGCCTTTGCTATTCAGTATTTAGCATTTAAGAAAATACTGAACAGTCTGTTTGATGGATTTTTGCACATTAACAGCAGACATCTTCAGTAGCAGATGCTGAGGGTGACGTGAGAGTAATGCTGTGGTTAAGCTTATGAGTCACCTTGGCTGGGCCATCATTCTCAGTGGTTTGTCAGTTCTGAAGTGAAGATTTGGCAGTTAATGTAAGGTGCAGTCAACTTTTATTTTATGATCAGACATGTTCATCCTCCATTTTTGCATACTGATAATTTTTTGCATAATGACCTACTCTCTAAAATCTAACTATATTGATAAATCAGGAGAAGTTCCATTTGAATGAAGGAGAAAGGCAAACTAGGGGTACTAAGAGTCAGTGTTCAGATTTAAAATACAAAGCAGAAGCCAAAAAAGGAGGAAAAGTTTAACATTTTTAGATTGTCTTGTTTTACAAAACAACTTTTCTGGTGTCATAGATGACTTAAAAATTAAGTATTTTCTTTTTATGTTACTAGGTTTGACCGTTAATGTATAACATTTAATAATTTTGTTACTCTATTGTTACAGCAAAGAAAAGAACTAGTATGGAAGCAGCATTGGTCCTTGAGAAGCTATTTCCGAAACAGTGCCAGATCCTTGGGATTGTTACCCCAGGAATTGTAGGTAAGCAAAAGACTGATTTAATGATTTCATGCTTGGCAATAATGTTGTTGTTATGGTTGATTGCCTTCAAGTCGAGCACGACTCATGGTGACCCTATGAACAAAAAGCCTGAAGCCCCTCTACAACATCGACATTTATCAAAGTTGATAGAGTTTCCGGAGGCATGTTGTTTAGGAAGTGGATGCTACTCCTGCTTCCAGTTGCAATAATAATGAGGAGGAGGAGGATGAGGTGTTCTTTTGATGGTGAATTATTTGCAGCTTAAAAACATATTTATATCTTGACCAGACAAAATACAATAAAGCTAACTTTACTGTGATATTTACCTTGTATTATGTTCCTTCAATCAGACTTTTCAACCAGGAGGGTTGACAGAGTGACTGCAGCAGTGGGCTTGAGTGTGTCAGAGACTGTGAGGCTGGCACAGGTTGTTCATAGGGTCACTGTGAGTTGAACGTGACTCCACAGTGCCTACCAACCACAGTATTCCTTCTGTTATGGTTATTATTTGGGATCTGAAAGCTACCTGTATAAACCAACTATGCATATCATTCTCATTGTCCTGTCAGTCCCTGCATACCATAGGAAACCTCTGATTCCTATGTTTGCCTGTTATTAAATGCCATACCATCTTTTTGTGTCTTGGCTTTCACTTCTGTATATTAAGTTTTTAATGAAACAGATTTCTAAGGGTTTTTTTTTACCACTAGTTCTCTTTTTGTTGTTTTTAATTTCTCAAGTAGTTTTCTGTTACATATTGTTGTCTTTTAACAATGGGGAGAACTTTTTAGATGGAAAGCTGTTTTGCTTTGCACACACCCACCAAAAATACAGAAAAATTCTATTAAAAAGTAATTTCTATGAAGTACCTGGCACATTGTCTTAAATACTCTTTTTTATTTTGTTTTTATTATTCCCGTTCTTTTTAATTGTGATTTTAGTGAAAAGCTTACGTAGAGGTTGGTTTTCATTCACACACATTTTCCTCCCTGACCCTCCCTGATTCACTTTGTATTGCTTGGCCTGCTCTAGATTTTTACTGTTGTTGTTATGTGCATTTGACCTGGAACCTTCCAGCTGACTTCTCTAGTGGGTTTTAAAAGTCTGTAAGTTGCACAGGAAGAGATTGCCCATCTTCTCTAGCTGCTGGTGGATTTGAACCATGTGGCTTCGGAGTGGTAGCACAGCTTCTTACCACTCGGCCACCGGAACTCCCTTTTCTATGTATAATGACTAAATGCATAGTATGAATAAATCGGAATTTTTTATTTATTTATTTATTTTTTTAAATGAGTATGTGATTTTCTGTTTTGGGCTGTTGAAAATGAAGCCGGTATGGATATTTTTTTGTCATTGCTCTTAAGAAACTACACTATTCTATAAGTGTTACTGTAATAGATGCATGTTTTTCGTCTTCCTGGGTAGAGCAGTCAGCTCATGCTGTCCTGCTAACCAAAGGCTTAGTAGTTCCCATACCCCAGTCACTGTGCAAGAAAAAGATACACGTTCTCATTTCCACAAAGCTTTATGGAGTCCGACAGCTGATGGAGGGTCACTGTCAGTTGGAACTGACTTGTTGGCAGCGGTTAGGGTTAGTTTATATTTAACTTTATAAGAAACTGCCGAACAGTCTTCTAGAGCAGTTTGAGTTTATACTCTGCAGCAGTTGATGAGTTGTTCACATCTTGCTAACCGTGTCATGAGCAATTTTCATTTTAGTGATCCTGTTGTTGTTGTGTAATATCCAGTCGGAGCCAACCTATTGCTGACCCTCTGGCAGAGGCAGTTAATCACATGGGAGGAGATTGCCCACCCTTCTCCCACGGGCGCAGCAGGTGCATTCAAACCCCATGCCTTTGGGATTGCAGCACAGCTTAAAACCTTATTGCTGTTGAGTTGGAACAGTTGAGTTGAGCTGACCTTCCAGCAGGTTTTCAGATGCTATAAATTGTATAAGAAGAGATTGCCCATCTTTCTCTTGCCAAACAGTGAGTGGATTTGAACCATCTGCTTTTGAATTGGCATCCTTACTAGGAGAACAAACAGGAGTCAAGAATTCTGTCGATTCCAAGGTTGGAAGCTGATTTATTTGATTCAGCACAAATGTTGTAGTAGATGGAGGCTTTTGCTGCTGAATCGGAGGGGTCGGCGTGGTTGGAGTTGCGAGGCCCACATCTCCTCCATCAATATCAAAGAGGTCATTTGGACTAATGCCACTCTCACTCAAAGCTGCAAGCAGTAAATCTTGCCCTGGTTCCACCATCAGTGGTTGGATCCAAGGCATCTCCTAAATGGTCCATTACTGCGGCTCTGGGGTGGGTGAAGGGTGAGGGGGCCGGGTTTCTGAGAAGGGGGAGGGGGTAGACGAAGGCCGCCTCAGAGTCAAGGATTCTGAAGCTTCGTCTGACACACGTTGGGCATTTTGCAAGGAGGGACTGGTCTTTGGAGATGGACATCATGTTTGGCAGAGTGGAGGGACGGCGCAGGAGAGGAAGACTCTCGATGAGATGGATCGATTCTGTGAGTGGAGTGGTGGGAATGAGGGCGTTTGAGATGCCTAGGTTGGCACAGAGTAGAACGGCGTTTAGGGCTCTTATACACAGGGTCACTATGAGTTGCAAGTGACTCGATGGCACATAATAACAACAAACTCACTAGGTCACCACAGCTCTCATTGACTATGCAAACATGTTTGACTGTGGATCATAACAAACTGTGGCTAACATTGAGAAGAATGGGAATTCCAGAACTATTAATCATGGTTGTACAAAGTCCATGTTTAGACTAAGAAACTATTGTCAGAACAAGCAAGGGAACATTTGTTATTTTTAGATGCCATTGAGTCACGTGTAACCCATAGTAATCCAATGGAAAACAGATCTGAACCCTATCCTGTGCCATCCTCACACTTCCTGATGCATTAGAGCCCACTGTGGCAGTCACCATGTCAATCAACCTGGTTGAGGATCTTCTCTCCTTCATTGACCCTCTCTACCTTTCCTAGCATCATATCCCTCTTCAAGGAATAATCCCTCTACCAACATGCTTGAATTTTGTAAGGCGAAACCTTATCTTCCCTTGCCTGCAAGGAGCACTCTTGCTGCACCCTCTCCAAAACATATTTGTTCTTTTGGCCATCTATGGGATCTTCAGCACTCTTCTCCAACGCCACAGCTCAAAGACATCAGTTCTTCTTTTGTCATCCTTATTCATTGTCTAGCTCTCAGTTGCATAGCAACTGATCAGAAAAACTATGGCCTGAAACCGATGCACCTTAAATCCTCAAACTGACATCATTACTCCTCAGTAATTTGGAAAGTTCACTAACTGTAGCCTTTCCTAGTGCAACACATCTCTTGATTTTCTGACTGCTGGTACCAAGGGTGTTAATTGTGGATCCAAGTAAGATGAAGTTGTTGATAGTTTCAGTCTTTTCTCCATCCATGAAGATGTTGCCTATCGACCCAGTGGTAAGAATCTTTGTTTTCTTGATACTGAGATGCAATCCATGTTCAAGGCTGTATTTTTTTTATATCTTCTGCAACAAGTGCTGCAAGTCCTCCTCATTTTGAGCAAGCACAGCTGTGTCATCTGGATAACACAGGTTATTGATTAGTCTTCTTCCGATCCTAATGCCACAGTCCTCTGCATAGAGTCCAGCTTCTCAAAGAATTTGCTCAGCATACAGATTGAATAGGTATGGAGAGAGAGTACAACCCTGATGCACTACCTTCCTGATTTTAAACCATTGCGTGTTCCCTTGTTCTGTTCACACAAAAGCCTCCTAGTCTAGGTACAGGTTTTGCATGAGCACGATTAAGTGCTCTGAGAGTCCCATTCTTAATGTCGGCCATAACTTGTTATGACTTAACACAGTCAAATGCCTTTGAATAGTCCATAAAGTTCAAATAGACATTCTTCTGGTATTTTTTTGGTGTTCTTTACTTCAGCCAGGATCCATCTGACATCAGCAGTGATATCGCTGGTACCATGGCCTCTTCTAAATCCTGCCTGAACTTCTGACAGTTCCCCATCTTTGTACTGTTCTAGCTGTTTTTGAATGTTCTTAAGCAGTATTTAGCTTGCATTTGATATTAATTATATTGTTCAGTAGTTTCCACATTCAGTTGGATCACCTTGGGAATGAGAACACATACGAATTTCTTCCAATATGCTGTCCAGACAGCTGTCTTCCAACTTTCCTGGTGAGTGCATCCAAGGCTGCATTTATTAATTGAAAAAAGTCATTTGGTATCCCATTGATTTCTGGGGCCTTATTTTTTGCCAATGCCTTCAATGCAGCTTCCACTTCCTCCTTCATTGTCACTGGCTTCTGCTTACATGGTACTTCCTGTAATTTTTCAGTCAGTTCTTTTTGGTACAGTGATTGTGCGTATTCCCTCCATCTTCTTTTGAAGCTTTCTGTGTCATTTAATATATTACCCATAGCATGTTTCAGTGTTGCAATTCAAGGTTTAAATTAGTTTTTCAGTTCTCTCAGCTTGAGAAATGCAGGGTGAATTCTTCCCTTTTATTCTCCTATTCCACCTCTCCATGTTCCATTGTAATACTTTGCCTTGTCCTTTCGAGCTGCCCTTTAAAATCTTTTCAGCTCTCTCTTCTACTTTGGCATGTTTTCTCTTTGTTTTGGCTTTATGATGCTTTATTGAAATTTTTAGAGTCTCTTCTGATACCCTTTTTTTTTCTTCTTCACCTTTGTAATGACCTTTGATTTCTTCTTGGATGTTATCCTTGATAACTCATCTGGTCTTGAGGATCATTGGTGTTCAGTATGTTAAACGTATTCTTAAGATGATCTTGAAATTTAGCTGGAATAGATACAGGATCATATCTTGGTTCTTATGGACTTATTTTAATTTTCTTTGGACTCAGTCTGAACTTGTACATGACTAATTGATGGTGTGACCCATACTCTGCACCTGGCCTAGTTTTTTGACTGCTGATACAGAGCTTCTCCAGTGATACCTTGCATAGATGTAGTCAGTCTGATTCCTGTGCAGCCCATCAGGTGAAGTCCATGTGTAAAGTCTGTAGTCATGTTGCTGTTGTGAGGTTTCATCAAGTTGAGTATATCTCATAGCAGCCCTATGAACAAAAGATCTGAACCCAAAATTGAATAGCATTTGTTCAGATGGTAGGTAGGTGGTTATCTTAGTGACTACAGTTATCTAGGTTGTTAGATGGTAGGTAGGTGATTATCTTAGTGTGACTGCAGTTATCTAGGTTGTTAGATACTAGCTGTTCAGTTGTGACCCTACACTCAAAAGAATGAAATCCCTCCTGATCCTTGTCTGCATTATAATCTCCATTGTGCATGAGCCTACTGTTGCAGCAACTGTGGTTAGTCCAGCTTGTCGATTTATCCAGGTGGAACCGAATGGCTGACATCATTATGAAAGACAATTTTATTTTTCTTTTTCAGTGTTTTCATGAAACACTGTTCAACTTTTTTTCCTAGTGACTCCAATGGGATCAGGCAGCAATCGACCTCAGGAAATAGAAATTGGAGAATCTGGTTTTGCTCTTTTATTCCCTCAAATTGAAGGAATAAGAATACAGCCCTTTCATTTTATTAAGGATCCAAAGAAAACGACACTAGAAAGACATCAACTCACAGATGTAGGTAAGTTCTTGCTATTTCTGTTTAATTGCCTTTTTTGTGAATTAATTTTGTTACATCTTTAGCTCATGAGTGAATATTAGAATCCTTTAAAAGAATGTAATTTATGAAGAAGCGCACATACCACTAAAGATTTAGAAAATCAGTACTTGGTAACTAAGAGTTTTCATATAATTAATTGGTTTCCTTTTAAAAATGTTTTATCTTTTATGTGCATTAAGGCCAGTGTCAGAGAATAAAATTTTTCATGAAATACTCTTAATATTTGATTTTTGTGTTTGAATCTGAATTTTCAAGGCATTCTTTTCCCTGAATATTTATTTTAAATTACTTGATAGTTTAAAATAAATTATTGTCATTTCTTTTAAGAAAGTTTTTGAAATGGAAATTTTGGAATAGTGTAGGGTGGTAACTTTTTTTTTTTTTTACACTGATAAAAAAAGACAATAGTTATAGAAAGGCTTCAGATATTTTGTTCATAGGGTCGCTATGAGTTGTCAGCTTGCTGGCAATCACCAACAGCAACATTTATAAAGAAGCTCTGGTGGCACAGTGGTTAAATGACTCAGCTATAAACCAAAGGTCAGTAGTTCAAACTCACCAACTGATCTACAGGAGAATGGTGTAGTGGTCTTCTTTTGTAAAAATTCAGTCTTGGAAACCTGTGGAGTTCCATTCTGTCATGTAAGTCACACTTGACTTGATGGCAGTGACAATGGGTATTGTTGAAATTTTTCATAATAGAAAATACTAAGTCCTATGTGCACTAGTTGGGAAGAAGAGACCAAGTGTAGCACATTTAATTATGAGTTTAGGAAAAGTTTATAAGACAGGCCTTCGGAGCAAGGGCTATATTAAGATACATCAGTTAGAGCAAGCTTAGCTGAAGAATAGGGATCATAAAAAGTGTTTAAATAAATAAAGAGGGTAGGCTTAATGTCTAGGTGCTGAATGGAAAGGTGTTTGCCTGTTGACTGTGATTGGCATTTTGAACCTAACCACGGACCCCTCAGAGGTAGTCCTAGAAGTCTGCCTCACAGACCTTACGGAGCAGTTCTGCTCGGCGTGCACAGGGTGCAGGGATTGGAATCAACAGCTCTGGTGGCCTAGTGGAAAGGAGTTGTGCTGCCAACCTGTGGCATTAAGGGTTTATTCAAAGTGACTTTCCTATTGTGACTGAGATATTTCACTCAGTCACAAAAGGACAAATACTGCATAATGCCATTGTTATAAAACAGACCTGACATGGAGGTTGGGGGGAAACTAGGAAACGAGGGGATAAATAATGAACACGGCATTGGAACAGTTGAGAGATTAGGTATTCTTTGCCTGACAACAGTCCAGAATAAGAGGTGCATAACAAAGTGGACTGGGGTAGAGGAAATTATGCAACAATGAATGATTTTTTTTTAAAGCAAACTAGGGGTGTGTGTAGGGAAGAAAATGTGCAATAATGAATAAATAGAAATCCAGGTTGCTTGTGAACTTTTGTTAAAATCACAATAAAATATTATTCTTCAAAATAGAAAGAAAAATAATGGCTTTCCTATCCAGGGTTTGATTTTGCCATATAGATGGGTGGGAACATGCAAATAGGACATGTAAACTTTTCCACCAGGGGACTGGCTAGTTGTGCCAGTGAATTGAGTGGCTCCCCCAACATATCGAGATCTTCCCCACAGTGAAGAAGGAAAATAGCATGTCCTTTGGGTCCAGAAATTCTGGCTCCAGCTATACCTACGGCAGCAGCAGTCATGACCAAACAACTTGAGCAAGGTGCGAGCAAGGTGACAGCAAACCTTAAATGTCACTGTCAGTGTTCCTCTCACCCTGCAGCTTAGCTTTGTTACTGCCAGATGGGCATTGTTCATGCATAAAGGAAATTTTATTTTTAAAAAAGATTTTTTTAAATACTATTTTCATAAATGGGAAATTTTAGATCATTATATAGTTAAAAAACCTGGTCTGTTTAGAGCAGGCAGAAGAATGAGTGGCCCACATATTCTTTAGGTAGTCCGTTCTGTGAGTAGGTAAGGTGCAGGGGAATTAAAGAATGCCACTTTTATTTATATGCACTCTTCAGGACCAGACTGAAGTCAAAAGAGCAGAGTGTTGAGATCTAGAACAGTACATGAGCTTCACTGATTTTATTTCTCTGGAGATACCAGCCCAAGATGCCCTGAGTTCTCGTATTCAGTACAAGAGACTACAGACCATTGCATCTGTAGGCACTGGCGTGTTGCAGTTTAAAAAAACCTGCTAGTAACAATTTTTTCTATCTAAACACTTTATGAGAAAAGGGGTCAAGTAATGAGAACAGCCATTAATAATATAAGTAACAGCTATCAACAATAAACCAGTGATGAATAGTTTGGGGGCCTGGGGAAAAAAAAGTCCAGGGAACCATTTACTGTCTTTTTTTCTTTAGTAACTCAGAAAAAGAAAACTCGTCTGGTTGGAATAGACTCATAGGTGACCCTGCAGTGCGTTTTCAGAGGCTGTAAGCTGCATGGGAGATTACCCATCATTCAACCAAGGAGCCACTGGTGGATGTGAACTAGCAGGGTTAGCAGCCCCCCTCCCTGTCCAGAGCTCCCGATTAGTAACGACTCTCAATATTGATCAATGCAAAAGCTGACTGGAGAGGCGGTTTGTGTTCTGCCTAAAATGAATGGTGCAGGGGTGAATGTAGTGTGTGAGAGGCGTTTTAGGAGCAGCTTGTACTGAACTTGTCAGTGAGCAAATGTCTCTCTCTTTTTTTTTTTTTTTTTTTTGTGCCAGAACTGGATAGGGTAAGAGGGAAGCCCAGTTGGGGCCTGAAGAAGATAGGAAGATTCTCTTAGGAGCCCCACATTCTACCTCGGTTACCTAAGGCTGTTAGAATTTTGTTTTCCTTCTCCCAGATCTTAAGCACAATGTGGGGAGGCCCATGGATACCTGCCTGTACTGTGGGATGCTGGGACCAAGGTGGGGATGTAGGAGAAAGTGTCCTTGGAAATATATTGAACCTCAGTTTATAAATAGGAATATAGAGACATTTACCTTTGTAGTAACTTGGGTACAACAGTTAAGCTTTGCTGTGTAAATTGGCTTTTGTGAGCTCCATGGGAACCTGATCTCTCTTTGCAGACCATGTACCTGTTATCCAAACAAACTTTTAATATTTAAGTTGGGGATCAATCCAGCTAATTGTATTGCTCTGAGATATATATTTTTCCCCCTTTTAATTTACCTAATATATACATTGAAGTTTGGCTGTATTGGAATCAGTGTTGATTTTACCTACTTACAAATAAATTTATCCTTTTAATTAAAAAAAAAAAAGAATGCCGCTTTTATTAAATACAATCATGTGCTTTAAAAGCAGCTGCACTGAGGATTCTGCTAATGTACCACCTCTGGCCACTTTATTATTTTATAGAAAAAGTAACATTAATGAAACTTCCACTTTGACAATTCACTAACATTGATGACATTATCCATTTTATACCATGATTATCACTATCCTCATTGGAAACATTCCAGTCCTCTTAACTGGCAGCTCTGGTGACCTAGTGGTACGAAACTACACTGCAATCCCAAAGGCACATGGTTTGAATCCACCAGCTGCTCCACAGGAGAAAGATGGGCAGTCTCCTCCTGTGTGATTAACTGCCGCTGAAAACTCGCTGGAGGTCCACTTATGGGTCAGTTCTGAGTCAACGGTACACCACCACAACAAATCTTGGTGGAAACAGACTGCAAACAGAATGCCACATCTTTCTTCCATAGATTGGCTGAGGGGACCAAACCATCAGCCCTTCTGTTAGCTGCCTGGTGCTTGTAAGATTCTTATGTGTTAAACCAAGTCTGGCTCTGACTCATGTATGACCAAATAGAATTTTCCATAGCATGTCCATGGCTGTCATCTTTACAGAAGCAAACCTCCGGGGTTTTCTTTCAGGCACTACTGAGGGGAGTGAACCACCAACCATTTAGGTTAATAGTCAGAAGCAAATGTTTTGAACCACCTGAGGATCTACCTTTAGAATATTCAGATGGCAATATAAAAGAGGATCTAGAGCTTAGAAAAAATAATAAGAAAGGTAGAGATGTGGAAATATTTGTTGTTGTTGTTCAGTGCCATTGAGTTGACTAAGACTCCTAGTGACTCTGTGATCAGTTGTTCTGAACCCTGCCCTATCCTGGGCCATTCTTAACATCTCTGCCACACTTGACAATGTAACAGTAACTATGTCAGTTCATTTTGTTGGAGGTCTTCCCCTCTTTCACCGACCCTCTGCCTTTCCAAGCGTGATGTCTTTTTCCCAATACTGGTCCGTTCTGACAACATGCCCAAAGTATGTGAGACAAAGTTTCACCATCCTTGCCTCTTTTTTTTTAAATTTCTTTTTTTTTTAAAAAAAAAAATTTGTGTGTGTGTATGTACCGTCAAATCAGATCTGACTGGTACAGGAGACTGGTCCCTCCTTCTCCGGCAGAGCATCTGGTAGATTTGAACCGTATACCTCTGGGATTGCAGTGCAGCTTCTTGCCACTAGGCCACCAGAGCTCCCCTCATCCTTGCCTCTTAAGAAGCACCTTGACTGCACATTTGTTTGTCCTAAGGCAGCCCATGGGACATTCAGCATTCTCCAACACCACAACTCAAGGCATTGATGATTCCCCCCCCTCCCCCCCCTTGAATTTTAAGGTGGTGGTGGTGGTGGTTGTTATGTGCCTTCAAACCAGAACTTTCTCTCTGGAAGGTTTTCAGAGACTGTACATTGCACAGAAGGAGATTTCCTTTCTTCTGTGGAGCAGCTAGTGGATTCGAACTGGTATCTTTGAGGTAGCAGTGCAACTCCTTACCACTAGGCCACCAGTGCTCCTTTGCCATCGACTCCTCTTACATTCTTATTCATTGTTCAACTTTCAGATGCTTAGTATAATTGAAAAGATCATGGTTTGGATCAGGTGCACCTTAGTATTTAAATTGGCATCCTTGCTCTTCAGCACTTTGGAAAGGTCCCTGACAGCACATTTGCCCAATGTTTATTTCCTGACTGCTGGTACCAAGGGTGTTGATTGTGGATCCAAACAAGATGAATTGACAGTTTGTCTTCTCTGTCACGTTTCCTATTGGTTCAGTGGTTAGGATTTTTGTTTTCTTGATGCAACAAGCAAGGTTGTGTCATCTACATGAAGTCTTCCTTCAATCCTGATGCCACATTCTAATCCATAAGGTAGGGCTTCTTGATTGATTTGTTCTGCGTATAGATGGAACAGGTATGGAGAAAGGATACAGCCCTGTTGCACACCTTATGTAGTGTTCCATTGCTCTGTTCATACAACAGCTAGGTTTAGGGATAGATTTTTTTATGAGCATAGTTAAGCGTTCTGGGATTCTCATTCTTCTCGATGCTGTTCATTGGTATGATCCATATAGTCAAATGCCTTTGTATAGTAAATAAAACACAAATAAGGATCCTTTTGGCATTCTTTGTTTTCAAGCAAGATCCATCTGACATCAGCAGTGATAATATCCTTTGGGCTTCTAAATCCAGCCTGAATTTTGGTGGTTCTCTGTTGATGTACTGTTTTAGCCATTTTAAAATAATCCTCAGTAAGATTTTACTTGAATGTGGTATTAATGATATTGTTTGGTGATTTCCACATTCTCTTGGATTCTCTTGGATCACTGTATTTTTGAAAAGGGAACTAAGAATTTTTTCCAATGCTGGCCAAGTAGCTGCCCTCCAAATTTCCTGACGTAGCTTAGTGAGTATGTCTTGGGCTGCATCTGTTTGTTAAACTATGTAAGTTGATACCCCATTAATTCCTGGGGCCTTATTTCTTGCTGGTGTTTTCTGTCCACTTTCAGTCTGTCATCATCATTGGTTCTTAATCATATGCCAGAGTGACTCAGAGTATTCCATCTTCTTTGCCTATGGTATCTTCCAGTATTACAATTCTAGGCTTGAATTTGTTTTCCAGTTCTTTCACCTTGAGAAATATCAAGTGAATTCTTCCCTTTTTGTTTTCCACCTCCAACTCTTTGCACATTCCTTCATGATATTTTGCTTTGTCTTCTTGTACTGCCCTTTGAAATTATCTGTTTCTTACTTCTGCAGTTCTTCCCCTTTTTTGTCTTTTAGACATCCCAGTGCAATTTTCAGAGTCTCTTGTGTCATTCAGTTTGGTCTTTCTCCCATGGTTTTGCAATGATCTGCTTTCTTCATGGACCTTTTGCTTTCTTGATGAATGATATACTTGATATCATCCCACAACTCATTTAGTCTTCTATCATATTAGTATTCAATACCTCAAACCTGTTCTTGAGATGGTTTTTAAATTCAGGTGGGATAGACTCAGGGTTGCATTTTAGTTCTTGTGGGCTTGTTTTCATTTTCTTCAGTTTCAGTTTGAACTTGTACATGAGTAATTGACGGTCTATTCCACAGTCAGCACCTGGCCTGATTTTGACTGCTGATAATTGAGCTTCTCCAATGATTTTCTCCATAGTCATTCTGATTCCTGTGTACTCTGAGTTCCACGTGTATACCTCCTGTGGTTTGGTTTTTTAAATTATTTGCAATGAATAAATCATTGATTATACAAAATTCAGTCATTCTGTCACCAGCCTCATTTCTGTTACCAAGTTGATTATTTACAACTACCAGCACCCTTTTCTTTGGTTTTAACTTTTGCATTCTAGTCACTCATTACTCACCTAATGAATCTTGATTGCATGTTCAGTCAGTTTCTGATGACAGAAGTTGGTAAAAGTTCTCAGTTTCATCTTTGACTTTAATTGTGATGCATGTATTTGAGTAACCGTTGTATTAACAGGGATGCCTTGTATGTGTAAGGTTTGTGTACTGTTACAGCACTGTACTTCAGGATAGATCTTGAAATGGTCTTTTTTACTAGAAATGCAGCACCATTCTTCCTCAGTTTTTCACTCCTGGTGTAACTGATCATATGATTGTCTGACTGAAAGTGGCCAGTACCGATCTCTCTCACCTCGCTAATGCCTAGACTGTCAAATCTTGATATATTCCATTTAATTTCTGACAGCTTCCTTTTCCTGGATTCATACTTTGTAGATTCTGTTCTCCAGTTATTAACAGATTTTTGCAGCTGTTGCTTTTCATTTTGGTGGTTTCAGTCTGGTACCATATCTGTCAGTGTTCCTCTGTTCATAGGATTTTCGAAGTCCTGTTATTACACGAGTGGATGGTCAATCCTGCTTCATAGTCGTGTCTTTAATCTGGAAGCTCTGCTTAAACCTGTCCATCATGGGTGACCCTGCTGGTTTCTGAAGTACCAGTGGTGTAGCTCTCACATTCCTGTGATGCTGGAAGAAAACTTAGGTTTCTAATAGCCAGTGCCCAGAGTCTGAAGCTCTTGGTCCCATAGGCCTCTTCCAGTGGTGAAAATTTGTTTTCAAGAGGAGATACAGTCCCTTAAAATTTGCTGATCTGATCTGACTTATAAAAAAAAGACTTATTAATATGGTTTGGAGTATATGCTATCATGAAAATACTGGGCTTTCATAGGATACTAAGATCTTTTTCATTCTTTTAGTAATTTAGTAATTAGTTTATGAATAGTAGGTTAGAAAAGGATCAGAAGCATTTCCCAGAGCACATCACTAGTTGGTGTTAGTAATTGGTCCTTCACTCCTCTCTCACCTATCCTGCCTCACGTCCTTTGTGAGCCATATTTATGATAAACTTCACCTCAGGTTTGCCAGGATAGAAGTCATAGCCTGAGCTGAATGGAAACACAGGTGTTGTTAGGTGCTAGATTTTCCCCCAGTCCTGGAGGCAGCTCCCATGCCTGGTGCTGGCACCTTCCAGATTGATCTGTCCATGAGGTGCTCAGCACCCAGATGAAGGATGAGAGCAATCCTCTGGGCAGTTGTGCCAGCCAGCTGCCTCCTGTGAGATGCTGCTGCCCTCTAGGGGTAGCTGCTTTCACTCCACATGCCAGGCCTTCTGTTTGCGCAAAATGAAACATTTTCCTGCTCTGGGAAGCGCGTTCATTACCTAATCCAACATCATCCCATCCCCTTTATTGGATGAGTAGGGTCTGTATTTTGGTGGTTTATCTATTTCTTGAGGCCTCCGTACAAATTACTACAAACTTGATGGTACATAGCAATGGAAATTTACTTTCAGTTCTGGAGATGAGAAGTCCAACATCCAGGTGCCAGCAGCACACTTTCTGACTAGTTAAGAGCAGAACATGTTCCTGCCTCTCCTAGATTTGTTGGCTGTGGCATTCCAGGCTCACATCATCACTGCAATCTTGTTAGCTTGTTTTTGCTGCCTTCTCTTTCATTGTCTCCTGTGTGTTACTAGCTGTGGCACCCACTCCAGTAACTCAGATGATCTCTTCATCTCAAGTGCCACAACTCAGTCACAGCTGTAGAGACTTTCTGCAGATAAGGTGGCATTCACAGGTTCTAGAGATTTACAGTGGACATACCTTTTTTGTGGTTTTCTTGAGCCGATTGAAGCCCTGCTCATGAAATTTGCAGTGTCTGGCTGCTAACTGAAAGGTCAGCTGTGTGAACCTGCCAGACGGGCTGTTTCTTGTAAAGATTTACAGCCTCCGAAACCCAGTGGAGCTCGGCTTTCACTCAGACTCCACCCAGAGCCCTGGGTCTTGCCTTTGGTATATTCATCAAGCTGTAGGTGGTCAGTGCCTTTTTTCTCCATTCTCTCTGGATCTTTAAATTCTCATTGCTGCATAGTTGTCTTGTATAAATAAGTGTTCCCTTCCTTCTGGTCTGCATGTGGCCTCTGGAGCTGGTTTGCACCATGGTCCACAGAGGCTGCTCCTTTGTTACACAGATGCTTCCTTACTTGTATTAAGTGTTGATTGTTACTTCCAAATAGCCACTTAGTTTTTCCTTTCCTAATAAGGAAAAGAGCACCGAGGCCCTAGTGGTTAGGAGATACACTGCCATGGTTCGAATCCACCAGCTGCTCTGAGAGAGAAAGATCGGCAATCTTCCCAGGTGATTCTGAAAACCCACTGAGTTAGCACTGGTCGGTTCCGACTTGATGGTGCACAACAATAAGGAAACTGTTTTTAAGGATTTTTTGAAAAGTGTTAAAATGTTTTAAAAATGGAAGACTTGAAAGCTTAAGCACTTAAGTAGGAGTGCACGTTATTAGCAGTAAGTTTTCATTTTGTAAGCTACAGAAAAGAATTCCTGTGTTAAAGCCATCTCTGAGAGCTGCCCTTCGTTCCCCTGCAGGCCTGCTAGACAACCCTGAACTGCGTGCGGTCCTTGTGTTTGGCTACAATTGCTGCAAGGTAGGGGCCAGCAATTACCTGCAGCGAGTGGTCAACACCTTCAGTGGCATGAACATCATCGTGGCTGGAGGCCAGGTGGACAACCTGTCCTCGCTGACTTCTGAAAAGTACGTCTGCTGTGCTGTGTCTGACTTAGTCTGTGGAGAAGGGAGAATATTCTTAGTTTTTCTATGTCTTTGTTGTTTTTCTTAAAAGTCTACAGAGTTCGTTGCATTTTGCTGTAGACACAGATTATGGACTTCACTCAATAATTCTTCTCAGTGGGAGAATGGCTTATAAGCATATTGTTCTTCAAGTACTAATTTTAAGTTGGTCTCACCCTTAAAAAAAGGTTTAAGGACTTTCATTCATACGGTCGCTGTGAGTCGCCTATGACTTGATGGCATTTAACAACAACAGAGAGAGAGAGATCAGTTGGCCTTGTAGACAGAAAGTGATGCTACCAAGCCAAAGGTGGGAGACTTTAATCCACGGTCCTCAGGCCCGTTTTTAATTGTTTTTGGTCAAACATTCTTCTAGGTTGTATAGACCTCGTGTGCCCACTTGCTGTATTTTGCTTTTTTTAAAAGAATGTAGGTTCTTATGAAACTTAACTTTCATGATCATATTTTTATATCATTTTTTCAGAATGTGGCAACTCAGGTATGGAAAAAGGGGCTCTAAATATACAAATAAAAAGAGTGTAGGTAGCATGGTGACAGCTGCTTCAACCTGTATTATTAACTTTATAACAGAAGCAGTTCCTATCTGCGACATCCACAGTACCAAAGGAATTCCCATCAGGTCAGACATGGGCCCCATCCCTCCACAGCCACTAATTCCAACACCACTCAGATTGCTCTACTGCATGGTCCAAAATCTGTTATAATGGCCACATAGATGTCATGGAACCAATATTAATGGTTATAGGATTTATTATTATTTTGTACTGTCAAGTCAGAACTGACTCATAGCTAACCAGCAGATTTTCAGAGTTAGTAAATGCGTGGGAGGAATTGCCCACCTCCTGTGGAGCAGCTAGTGGATTCAAACTGTGTACCTTTGGGATGAAAGCACTTTTTACCACTAGGCCACCAGAGGTTCCTTATAGGGTTTGTTTTCACTTTTTAACTTTAAAAATGGGGTTCATTAGGGAGTTTAAGAGGTGACAAGTTGAGGTTGGCAGCAGGATGAGTTCCTTAGTCTGACCAGCTTCTCAAGCAGTTCACAGGCCCTTTCACCTTCAGCCTCACAGCTGTCATTGTTAAAAGTTCCCTTAGTCCCACCACGTAGGGAATGTCCCCTTCGTCCTCCAGCCGGCTGGGGAACGGCTTGACTCTGACCTCGTGGGGCAGCAGTCCCTGGTCAGCTCTGTCTTGCATCGGTCTCTCCTCTGCTGAGGCTGCTCTCATGTAGGTCCTGGTCAGGCTGCTGAGAGCACACTGCACTCCACTTCTTTCCTTGCTAGTAAGTAGTGAGGTCCCCACCTCTGCTGATAAATCACACAGTTTAATCGTAGTGGGATGAGAAAATTGACTGATTTCGTGATTACATTATACTTACTGTTTTAAGTATGTGGTGAAAGTCAGAGTTGATGGTTACAGAAGCCATTTTGAATAGTGAACTCATGACACCACAGGACAGAAAGCTCTACTGTATAGATGCATGCATCAAATGGTAAGGTGTTCACTTTTAAGGAAGTCAGGAAGGTAAGGCTACTCTGTATCCTTCTGATAGCTCAGAGAAGATTTCAGAAATGTTTGTGGAGATGCATTTGCCCCTTTGTACTTCTGACTTTATCTGTGAAGCTGTACTCTATGTAAAGAGGAATGTGGCATCAGGATTTGAGGGAGACTCATCAGTAACTTGAGTTATGCAGATAACACAATATTATTTGCTAAAAGTGAGGAGGACTTGAAGCACTTGTTGCAGAAGATCAAGGAATGCAGCCTTCAGTATGGATTGCATCTCAATGTCAGGAAAACAAAGATTCTTATCACTGGACCTATAGGCTGTATCATGATGGAAGGAGAGGAGACTGAAACTGTGAAAAGTGTCATCTTGCTTGGATCCACAATAAACAGCCATGAAATAAGGAAAATCTGCAGTTAGGCACATCTCCAAATTATTGAGGAGTAGTGATGTCAGTTTGAGGAATAAGGTGCGTCTGATTCAGACCCTGGTCTTTCAGATTACTTGCTATGCATCTGTGAACTGGACAGTGAATAAGGATGACGGGAAAAGAATTGACGCCTTTGAGCTGTGGTATTGGAGAAGAGCACTGAGCATCCCATGGACAGTCAAGAGAACGAACAGATATGTCTTGGAGACAGTGCAGCTGGAGTGCTCTTCAGAGGCAGGAATGATGACACTTCACCTCACACGTTGGGCATGTTGCTAAGAAGTGCTATTCCTTGGACATAACGGACATGACGCTGTGAAGGATGGAGGGTTGGCAAAGGAGAGGAAGATCCTCAACTATAGGTGACTGACTTGGTGACCGCTGCACCGGGCTCTTGCATGTCAGGAAGTGTGAGGATGGTGCAGTATACAACAGGGTTCAGATCTTTTATTCACTGGGTCCCTAGGAGTCATACTTTATTGACGGCACCCAATAACAGCACTCCTGACCTGTGAACCCCGCCCATCCTGCACCATCCTCACGCTCTGATGTGCTCGAGATCGCTGTTGTGGGCACTGTGCCAGTCCATCTTGCCGAGGGCCGCCCTCTTGCACTGCCCTCAACCTTTCCCAGCATGATGTTTTTTTCCAGGGAGTGGCAAGGTTTCAGTCTGTTGTTCGTAGGGTCACTAAAGAGTCGTACTTGGGGAGCTCTGGTGGCCTAGTGGCAAGAAGCTGTACTGCAATCCCAAAGGTACACGGTTTGAATCCACCAGATGCTCTGCCGGAGAAGGAGGGACAATTTCCTCCTGTACCAATCAGATCTGATTTGACGGTACACACACAAAATAATAAAATACAAAATTTAAAAAAAAAAAAAGAGTTGTACTTGACTAGATGGCACCTAATAACTTCTAAGAATCAGTCACTTCTCTGTAGATGTGTATTCTTCTCATTCATCAGTATCAATAGAGAACCCTTATTACATTCTCCTTATCTGAAGCAGGAGCTCTGGTAGCAGGAATCCGCCAGTGATGAGGGGGAAGGGTGGGGACTCTCCCCTTGTGCTGTTTACAGCTTCAGGGAGCCCACTGGAGGTTCAGCCGTGAATGTGTTCTGACTCCATAGTATTGACTGTCAGGGTTTGTGCCTTGTTTTAACATAGAAAGAAGCTACTTAGTGATAGAGTTGTTAAGGTTTTCAGCTGCTAGCCAGAAGGCTGGTGGTTCAAACCTCTGGTTTCTTTTTCTAAAAACCCTGAAACATTAATTTTGTTTCATGCTCTATTGGCAGTTTTATCATTTCCTTTTTCAGGCACACTCTGGACATTGATGCTACTGGAGTCGTTGGACTGTCATTCAGTGGACAGCGGATCCAGAGCGCCACAGTGCTCCTCAACGAGGACGTCAATGACGAGAAGACCGCCGAGGCCGCGATGCAGCGCCTGAAAGCCGCCAATATTCCCGAGCACAACACCTTTGGCTTCATGTTTGCATGTGTGGGCCGGGGCTTTCAGTACTACAGAGCCAAAGAAAATGTGGAGGCTGATGCGTTCCGGAAGCTCTTCCCCAGTGTTCCTTTGTTTGGCTTCTTTGGAAATGGAGAGATTGGATGTGATCGGATAGTGACTGGGAACTTTATACTGCGGAAATGTAATGAGGTAAAAGATGATGATCTGTTTCACAGCTATACAACAATAATGACGCTCATTCATCTTGGCTCGTCGAAATAAAGCCCCCTTTAAAGTCATGTGCGTAACCTCTGGGTTCTGCCTTTTCCAGAAAATGGGAATTTGGGGGAAATGTGTGTTTCAAACAAATAATTTTAGGTATATTTGTTCCATAACTTTGATTGATTCTCTAAAAACCATACTGGGGTAGCTTAATACATTAGATGGAAGACAAATTGTGTGTAATACAAGGGAAGACAAGAATTGAGAGCTTTTGCATCAGACACAAGCAAACGGACTACAGGTCTGCTGCACCAGACAGCAGCTGCTGTGGTGGTGTGTACCGTCCAGTTGGAAAGGACCCAAGTGGACCCTCCAGTGGATTTTCAGAGGCAGTACATCGTTGAGAGGAGACTGCCCGTTTTTCTCCCACAGAGCAGCTGGTGGATTTGAACTATGTACCTTTGTTCTGGCAGTGTAGTTCCTTACTGTGTAGAATGACCTTAGCCAGTGTTCCTGATTGGGAAGATCCAAGGAGCTTTGCCAGCAGGATGGAGAGCTGAGACATTCCACAGCCACCTCAGAGATTCAGGAGGCCTTTATGCAGAATCGTGATACTGTCCCTTAATAGAGGAGAAAACTACACAGTTGGTTTGAGAACTCTCTCTGCATTACCAGTTGTGTGAGTTTATTTTCCCAAAAAAAAACTGTAATAAAATCATTACTGACTTTTTGCTTGATGGAAATGAACTATTTTTGTTTGTTTAGGTTGTCTAAAGTTTAGTCAGATAAGGTGCTAAGACTAATAAAGAAATATTTTGCAACTTAAGGATTTTTTTTTTCTTTTTTAGTAAAGAAATAGCAAGGGGAAAAAAAAACAATATAGATAATTGGCAGACCAGAGAACTATGTCACCTTATTTTATTTTTAAAAAAAAAATTTTTTTTTTAATTTATTGTTTTTTTGTGTGTGTACCATCAAATCAGATCTGACTGGTACAGGAGGAGATTGCCCTTCCTCCTTCAGCAGAGCATCTGGTGGATTCGAACCATGTACCTCTGGGATTGCAGTGCAGCTTCTTGCCACTAGGTCACCAGAGCTCCCTCTTATTTGGTTTTATACCAATAAAATACCCCTTGGTAACTCATTCAGATAACATTTTGTATTTTATTACTTTTGGTGTGTAAATAAGTAAGTATAAAATTCTTTGTGAAAGAAAATACCAAGTATTTTGTCAGCTAGTAAGTCTTGGTATATTCTCATTTGAATTATTTTCAAGTATGAATTTCCAGTTTTACAAATACTTGAATTACGTGTGCAGAGTGCCAGTTCCCCAGTAGCCCCTCATTCCTGTGTGTGTAGTGGTGGAACCCCCTGGGGTTTTGGTTGGGATGGGCCTCCCTGGAGTCAGCAGTACTTCCAGGCTTCCTTGCAGCTCTGGCTCTGCTCTGGCCAGGGTGTGAGGGGAAACCAGCGTCATTTGGAGTGGTGGTGTGGCTATGCTGGGCCTCCTTCACCATTCTGAACTCTGCAGAGGGACAGTGTTACCCTTTTGAGTGAGAAACCACATGGAAAGACCTTGAGCCCCTATAAAAACTTTGTGGAACAAAACTGCCTGCGTCTAGATTGTATTTCAGACAGAAACTAACACCAGTATTGTTTAAGCAAGCAGTATTTTTAAGTGTTTGTTACAGGATCTCCTTACAGTGGCACATCTGACATAATACAGTGTGATATAACTAATATATGGCACTTTTGTAATACATTATCTACTTCTGTGTTCTAACTGGACAGTAGAAAATTTGCAAGGAAGTAAAATCAAATGTATCAACATTATTCTTGCTTTCCTGTTTTAACATGTTCTCTCAATTCTTGTCTCCAGTGGTTTTTATCTGCTGATGAATAGTGATGAAAAATATTTAAGAGCTTCTTTATCTTAAAGGCCATTCTAAACCTAAGTTCCTGAGAACAATCCAAAGACGTCTGATGCTGACAGAGCCTGTCTAACACTGGTACCCATTATCAAGTAGAAAATACTTCAAAATGTTTGTCCTTGGTTTATATAACAGAAGAGTAAGATATTTTATAAAACTTCTTTATCCTTGATAATATTAGCTTTAAGAGTCTGTTGAATCGTAATAGAGGAAAATAAATTTTGAAAACATGAAAATGAGCCTCTGCCTGAAAACTTGTTTTATTGTTTTCAAATTCATAAGAAATGTTCTCCATTACTGTTCAAAGGGAAGTCTACTACAGGGTCATTTCATACAAGATTTCACGTTGTTACAAAATTCCTTGGTAAAGTTGAGACACTTGGGCCTGCTGTGAACATAACAGCTGTTTAGCCACATGGCTCTCCCTTTGGTATGGAGTTTCTGAACAAGGGAGCAGGGGGCCCCAAGAGAAATAATAAAAGTAAGTAGTATGGGTAAGGAAAAAGCCTCCAGTAAAGCGAAAACTTTCTACTTTGCTACAAGTATGAAAGGCTTAAAAGTAAGCACTAAAGGAATAATCTCAGCTAAAAATACACTATTGCTACATAGCATAAAAGAATATAAATTCCTAGAAATGACATGCATTGCAACCATTTGTGAAACTGAAAAAATCCTGTGAAAAAACTGAGGTAAATACATAGAGATGTTTTGTCAGAAACCTCACTGTGGTGCAAAAGTAACACTCCACACCTCCTGATGAGAAATCCTGAGGTTATGGATGACTGACTTGATTCTCAAATGGGGAGAGTAGGTAGATGAATCTGCTTAAGGAATATCCTAAAATAAAGAAAACATAGTAAGTAATAGTGATAGCATCCTTGTTAAATGAACAAAACAGGACTTACATAATGAATGTGTTACTAGAAGTTATTGTAAAAGAATTTGTCAATTTTTTTAAACGCAAAAATAAGAATATGTCATGTGCCGTCGAGTTGCCTGCGACTCAGTGACCCTATGTACAATAGCTCTGAACTGTGCCCTGTCTTGAGCCAGCCTCACTCTCAACACACCTACCCCCATTGCCCTAGTCACTCTATCAGTCCATCTCATCCTGGGTCTTCCTCTCCTGTGCTGTCCCTTCACCCTTCCCAGCATGATGTCCTCCAGTCGGTCCTACCTGGACAGGTCCCACTTGGCCATGTGAAACAGAGCATCAGAATCCTAGCCTCCAAGGAGAAACTTGGTTTCACCCTCTCCAAGACAGACCTATTTGTTTTCTTCGCAGTCGATGGTATGTTCAAGACTCTTCTCCAGCACCACAACTCAAAGTCATCAATTCTTTTCTGTCATCCTTAGTCATTGTCCAGCTCTCTGATGCATAGCAAGTAACTGAAAAGACTATGGCCTGGATTAGGTGCACCTTGGTATCTAGATTGACATTGTTGCTTCTCAGTACTCTGGAGGAGGTCCCTGACAACAGCTTTTCCCAGTGCGTTTCATCTTTTGATTTCCTGACTGCTGGTGCCAAGAATGTTGATGATTGTGGAGCTTCGTGGAGTGTTTCATGGCTGCAGCAGACTCAATGGCCAGTGTGTCTCTCGTAAATGTGACTTCCTACTTTAATTCAGCCTGAGCCTCTGCTTGCATTCTTTTTAAAGGTTAAGAAGTTTGACAGTGATTAACTGGTAACAGCTGGCAAGGCTAGCTAGGATACATTACCTGGGTTTGAATGGACCACTGAGCCTTCACCTCTTCCTGGGGACAAGGGAAGCAGCCGCTGGAGTGTCCCCTCACCTCCTCCTGGTAGTCCTATACCAGGCCAAGGTCCCCGTCAGTCAGCTTTATTGTCTGTCTGCCTGTTATGTTACTACCTCCCCTTTTGTTTTCATGGCCCTAATTGTTGATTCTGTCCAAGTGGAAAATGGCCTGTGGCAGCATATAAAATAACTCCTGATTGTCCAGGAATTTCAGGGTTGGAAAGCCATCCTATCTGGAACTCCTAAGCACGGGTGCCACCTAGTGGCAGAGGCTGAGAGTAGCACCTTCCGGAGGACAGCATCTGTGCATCTGAACTACAATGACCTGCCTGTTTGGTTCTGTCACTAAAAATTTGGTTCAGACTCTTCCCAAGGAGTTCAAGTCATATTTTCTGTTGTTAAACTGTCCATTTTTCTATGTCATGAAGTATGGGAGGAAGGGTCCCTTAGGATAATACCTGGAAGTAGGTAAAGATGGTTGTTGGTTTTTTTTTTTATTTTTTTTTTTTATGAAAGTTTTTAAAGAGTTTGGATTTCCATTCATTCATTGTTACACATTTTCTTTCCTGCCCCCCCTCCTCCCCAGTTCACTTTTTTCTTTGGAGAAAAGTTCTTTCACTGTTATACAGTTTGTCATTATGTCCCCGCCCCCACACACACACTTTACTATGCAGCTCTTATTCTGGACTCTTGTCATGCCAATAATAAATACCTAATCATATGTTCCTTTTATACAGTTCTCTCCATCTGTTTCAAAGATTTGCTAGATGCTGTTACTGAATGCCATAGAGTCAAAAACTGACCCATCGCTGACCCTCCAGCGGGTTTTCAGAGGCAGTTAATCGCACGGAACGAGACTGCCCATCCTTCTCCCGCAGAGCAGTTAGTGGATTTAAACTGTGCCTTCGGGATTGCAGTGCAGCTTCTTACTTCTAAGCCACCAGAGCTCCTAGGTAAAGGTTTATGACTGTGAAAAGGAACTATCTAAGGTTGAATTGAAAAAGGCCCAGACTTTTCCACGGACCCCAAGAGGCCTCTCTCCCTGAGCTGCCATCTGTACAAGTGCAGCACTGAGGCTGCAAGCATTGGCAACACGCTGTGATCTATCACCAAGTGTCCATCTTTTGTGATTGGTAATGGGAGCCAGGCAAAACACTTCCAAAGATTTAGTCCTAGGGGGCCTTTCTAGCATCTGGCCATCGATGACTTAGATGGCGTAAAGGAATAGAAAGCAGACTGACTCAGTTCCTGGAGCATGCAAAGAAACACCATGAGGGAAAAATGAAATGGAGATAAAATCTGTCCTTTAGCCTAGGGTCCTTGCACAGGGAATCCTTGTCTAGAAACAAGAGACAGAAAGTGGATGCCTACCCTAGAGCTGAAACCCAAATTAGAATGTCTAGCCTCTTATATGGAGAAAAATTAATCGTATTTGTAAAAGCAAAAAAAGAAATACCATGAGACTGAGCCGACCTTCCCAAGCAGGAAGTAAAGCTATCTACTGGACAGAAATAGTAAGTACCTGAGGACCCTGCTACACTGTACAATACTGGAAGGATTAGACTGGACTCCTTAGGTTCCAAACCGGGAGAAGCTGAGCCCCGCTACCCAACTGACTACTGCGTTTTCTGCATTTTACCCAACGCCCACCCTCTTCACAAAACCCAGAAGCACTCGGCCCTGTGGCCTTTCTGCTACTTGGAGTCCTAGTGGTTCTGCTGCTGGCCAGTGTGTCCCTGCCTCCCCAATAAAGGCAACTTTCCTTTTTAATTGGGGAAGAGGAAGAAAGCAACACAAGGAGGATTATGAAATGCCTGCTGCAGAAGATGAAGGACTACAGCCTTCGGTATAGGTTACATCTCAACATCAAGACTTTAAAGGACGTAACCACAGGTCCAAGAGTCAACATGAGAGATGGAGAAAGGATTGACGCTTGTCAAGTGCATCTTGCTCGGATCAACAGTCAACACCCTTGGTACCAGCAGTCAGGAAATCAGGAGATGTATTGCACTGGGCAAGTCTGCTGCCAGGAACCTCTTCAAAATGCAGAAGAGCAGTGATGCCAGTTTGAAGACTAAGGTGTGCCAGATTTAGGCCACCATGGTCATCTCAATCGCCTGCAGTACATCAGAGAGCTGGAAAATAAGTAAGGATGACAGAGAAGAATTGATGCCTTTGAGTTACAGTGCTAGAGAAAAGTGCTGAATAGCCCATGGACGGCCAAAAGAACAAAAAGATATGTCTTAGAGAGGGTACAGCCAGAGTGCTTGCTGGAGGCAAAGTTGACAAAGCTTCATGTTTCATACTCTGGACATATGTCTAGGTAAGGCAATTCCTTGGAAAGGGACACCATGCTTGGAAAGACAGTCAGTGAAGGAGAGGAAGACCTCCAATGAGATGGACTGACAGAGTGACTTCAGCAATGGGTTCTAATGTGTCAGAGATGAGGACAGCCGGCTGTTTGTAGGTCCCTATGAGTTGTACTTGACTCAATGACACCTAACAACAACAACCACCACCACCCAGGTTTTCTTTTACTTCAGCATCTCTTTGTCTTGGCTTCTCGATGCTCTAGTGCAATTTTCTAAGTCCCTTCTGGCATCCATTCTGGTCTGGTCTTCCTCCTCTGTCTTTGTAATGACCGCACACCCTCTTCATGGATGTTATCCTTAATCTCATCCCACAGTTCATATAGTCTTTGATCATTAGTGTTCAATGCCTCAAACATTCTTGAGATAATTTTTAAATTCAGGTTGGATAGGCCCACGGTCATATTTTGGTTCTTGTGGACTTATTTTAATTTTCTTCAGCTTCAATTTGCACTTGCGCATGAGTAAGTCATGGTCTGTTCTGCTCAGCGCTTGACCTGGTTTTGACTGCGGATACTGTACTCCAACGATTTTTCTACAGATGTAGCCAGTCTGATTCCTGTGCAGTTCATCAGGTGAGTCCATGTGTATAGTCGTCAACTTTGTTTCTTAGAAAAGTATTTGCGATGAATAATTCATTCAATGTACAAAATTCAGTCATTCAGTCTCTAGCCTCATTTCTGTTCCCAAGTCCATAATTTACAATACCATTCCTTCTGTTTCGCCTCCAACTTCAGCATTCTAGTCACTAGTTATTTTTCATGCATCCTGACTGCATGTTGGCTCAATTTCAGACCTGCAAAGTAACAGCTGTATGTTATGTCTTCCTTGTTGTATGTGTATGGATAGTATCCTGTCACTCACAGCATTGTACTTAATGACAGATCTTGCAGTGCTCTTTTTAGCAATGAATTCCAACACCATTCCTCTTCATCTTTTCATTCCAGGCATAGTAGATCATATTGTCTGATTCAAAGTGGCCAACTCCAGTCCATCTCAGTTCACTAATGCCTGAAATGTTCCACTTAATGTTGGAATGTTCCATTTCTTTTTTTACACGATTTCAGAGGGCAGTGTGAGAAGGCAGAGCAAAGTATTATAATGGAATTTGGAAAGAGCTGTTGTTGAAGGAGAAAAAGGGAAGAACTCGCTCAGTATTTCTCAAGTTGAAAAAGCTAAACAACAAATTCAAGATGAGAGACACTATGGAGAAAATCTTGAATGATCCAGGAAACATCAAAAGATGGCAGAAGGAATAAACAGAGTCACTATACCAAAAAGAACTGACTGATACAAATAGTTCAGGAAATAGCATATGATAAAGAGCCAGTGGTGATGAGGGAACAAGTTCAAGCTGCATTTAAGGCATTGGCAAAATAATAACAACAACAACACAGGAATTGATGGGATACCAAATGACATATTCCAACTAACAGACAAAGCTCTGGACATGCTCACCAGTCTGTGGCAGGAAATTTAGAGAAGAGCTAGCTGGCCAGCTGATGAGAAGCAATCTTTGTTCGCATTCCCAAGAAAGGCAATCCAACAGAAATTATTAAAAGAAATTATCAAGTGGTATCATTAATATCACATGCAAGCAAAAGATTTTTGAAGATCATCCAAAAATGGCTAGTAAAAAGAGAACTGCCAGAAGTTCAAGCTGGGTATAGAAGAGGCCAAAGCACCAGAGATAACACTGGAGATGCCAGATGGGTTTTGACTGAAAGTGTAGACCAGAACAATGTCTTACCTGCATTTTATTGGTTATGCAAAGGTGTGTGACTGTGTGGATCATAATACACAATAGCTAAAATTGAGAAGAATGAGAATTCCAGGTCATTTGATTTTGCTTATATGAAATCTGTACCAAGACCAAGAAGCTGTTGTATAAACAGAGCAAGGGAACACTGCATGGTTAATATTAAAGGAAGTGTGAGTCAGGGCTCTTATCTTTTCTCCATACTTAATCTGTATGCTGAGCCAATCACCTGAGAAGCTGGACTTTTTTTTTTGTTTGTTTCTCTGTTTTCTTTCACTATTCATTTCCTTAACCAGAAAACTGGGGGGTTTCACAACACAATAGGTTTCACCAACTGGATCTATTATCAAGTTCACCTGTCCTCCGATGCTACCTATACTGATCTACCTGATAAGGCTCTTATCAATCTCTTCTGGTCTTGAAAACAGGGCAAAATAATCTACAAATAGGTTTGACCTTAGAGACTCTGAATTAGTGTTATAGAAGAAACAGCAATTATGGAAGAAATTGTTCTTCCATTCCAACACATGTCAAATCCCCATCAGAATGAGAAGTTCCGTTTTCACATGTGCAGGAAGAAATGATGCTCCTTGGCAGTTCTGAATCTGTATCTGACAGACATTAGACATCATCCTCAGTCCCAGCTCTTCAATCTCGACTTTGCCAGTAATACCCCAGCAAACAACAAAATAGACCCACTTATCACAATTCAATCATCTACGGTCACTCTCTTGATATATTTTTGTTTCAAAAGTTGACCGAGTGTCTGCAGCAGCAGCCAGGACATTGGATAGGTCCGAGTGTCTGCAGCAGCAGCCAGGACATTGGATAGGTGCGTTGGTGCCAACAATGCTGAAGTCTGATTTTTAACGGCATTTCTTGTCACTTTGGCTGGGAAGATCCGGGCAGCTGGAAGTGAGCTTCTCCATCATTTTCTGTTTCCTTCTTTGTATCAATTTTCCACCTGTGAAACCCAACACCCCACCACCAAGTGCAGCTGAAATTCCTGCGACTTTGAAGCCTGCAAGGAGGCCAATCGGACCCCCTACCACTCCTCTGATGAGTGCACCTGCCACAGGCAGAGCTGCCAGCTTGTACTCTGCAGCCTTCCCCAAGTTTTTGGTTCCCTCTTCAACATTCACAGCAGCACTGTTGACATGGTCTTCAATGCTGTCAATCTTCTGCTGAGAATTCACTAGTAGAGAGAATTCAGTGATGAGTTGGCTAAGTTCAACTAAGTCTGCTTCTAAGGTTTCCCACGATTCTGCAGCATTTTCATCACGAAGAATTTCAGGCAGCGCGTATATCTGAGTCAAACTCTGAGGACTAGCTTCAGCTTCAGCACTTTGAAATGTTTCACCAGCAGTCATAGATCTGGTCAAAGAAGGCTGCAATACACTTTCTTCATCATTAAACTGTTTAAGATTTTCTATTGATTCCAAACGGAGCTGGAGAAATTCTGCTGTTGCTGCCGATGCTTCTTCTTTAACTGGATCTATCATTCTTCTCAGAAGTCCTAGGTCATCTTTTTGAACTTTCAAACAAAGCTTCTCCATTTCTCGAATATCGGAATGGAGTTGCTGAACTGTACATCCTGCATTGATATGCTCTTCGTGCAACTTGTCCCAGATTCTGCACCTCTGGTACTTCTCAATATTTATCTGGTGTTTCCTTAACCTCTCCAGATCTGTTGGGATTACTACCTTAATGAACTTCTGGATAGCTGGCTCAAGACGGCGTAATTTCACTTTTTCTTCATCTTCAGACATCCTGAAAAGACGCTAGGTCTCTTCTACTTGCAAATTTATTCTTATCTACTCATGTAGAGAAACCTCCCGCCGGGGAGCTGGAGGCCGGTCGGTGCACGCGGCGCAGGCGCGGGATCGAGGGGAGAAGCTGGACTTTATGAAGAAGAATGTGGCATGAAGATTTGAGGAAAATTCATCAACCCATGTTATGCAGATGATACAACCTTCTTTGCTGAAAGAAAGAAGGACCTGAAGCATTTACTATAGAAGATCAAGGATTGTTATGAGCCGTCAGGTCACCTGCGGTCCTAGGTTCAACAGCCCCAAACCCTGCTCTATCCTGTGCCAATATTATTGTCTCTGACACACCTACCCCCATTACCCCAGTCACTGAATCAATCCATCTCATCGAGGGTTTTCCTCTCCTGCACTGTCCCTCCACCTTCCCAAAATTAATACCCCTTTCCAAGGACTGGTCCCTCCTTGCAACATGTCCAAAGCATGTCAGATGAAGCTTCAGAATCCTTGCCTCCAAGGAGCAGCCTGGTCTCACCCTCTCTAGGATGAATCTATTTGTTCTCTTAGCAGCAGGCCTTGGGGTATTCAATACTCTTCTCCAGCACTACAGATTAAAGGCATCAATTCTTCTTCTATCATCCTTAGTTATTGTCAAGCTTTCTGATGCATAGCAAGTAATTGCAAAGCCTATGGCCTGGATCAAGTGCACCTTGATGCTCTTCAGTACTTTGAAGAGGTCTCTGATAGCAGACATTCCCAGTGCAATTAGTCTTTTAGTTTCCTGGCTGCTGGTACCAAGAGTGTTGGTTGTGGAGTCAAGTAAATTAAAGCTGTTAAACAATCTCAATCTCTTCACCATCCATGATTCTGCCAAGTGACCCAGTGGTGAGAATTTTTGTTTTCCTGATGTTGAGCTTCAAGCTATTTTGAAGGCTGTAGTCCTTGACCTTCTGCAGAACGCGCTTCAGGTCCTCCTCAGTTTCAGAAACCAGGGTTGTGTCATCTGCATAATGCAGACTGTTGATGAGTCTGCCCCTAATCCTGATGCCACATTCTTCCTCATAGATCCTAGCCTCCTGGATAATTTGTTCTGCATGTAGGTTGAAAAGGAATGGAGATAGGACACATCCCTGGGTGTATACCCTTCTCGATTCTGAACCATGCAGTGTTTCCCTGCTCTGTTCTGATGACTGCATCAAGGATTAAAGCCTACAATTACATCTCAACATTAAGAAAACAAAAAATCCTCATTACTGGGCAAAAAGGCAACAGCATGATTGATAGAGAAAAGATTGAAATGGTCAACAACTTCATCTACTTAGATCCACAATCAACACCCTTGGAACTAGCAGTAAGGAGATTAGGAGACATATTGCTTTGGGAATGTCTGCTGTCAAGGACCTCTCTAGGGTACTAAAGAACAACGATGTCAGTTTAAAAGAAGTCTCATTCAAGCTATAGCACTATGCCTCTGAGATCTGGACAATGAATAAGGATGACAGAAGAAGAATTGATACCTTTGAATAGTGGTGTTGGAGAAAAGTACTGAATATCCCACAGACTGCCTAAAGAACAGATAAGTCTTGGAGAAGGTGCAACCAGAGTGCTCCTTGGAGGTAAGGGTGATGAAGCTTCATTTCACATACTTCGGGCATGTAGTTAGGAGAGGCTATTCTTGGAGAGGGACATGCTTGGAAAGGTGGAGTGTCTGCGAAGGAGAGGAAAACCCTCAGCAAGATGGATTCACACAGTCACTGTGGCAATGGGCAATGTGTCCAGGATGAGCTGGAGAGGACAGGGGGCAGATCTTATGTTCACAGGATTGTGCTGGGTCATACACGACTCGATGACACCTAACAACAGCAACTACAAAGGAGGAAACGGGCAGAAACCAGTATTTATATTTAATTTCTAGGCAGTAATAATGGTAGAGCAACTGTATACGCAAACCGTATAGAAGCCATTGCCCTTTCATAGCTAGAAAAATAAACCTAAAAAAATTCAAATTTAGGAGAAATAGGGGGGAAATATCCTTGTAACTTTAATTTTCAACACAATCAGATTTAAGAGAATTTGGAATCAATGTCTTGACATTTTAACATGCTATCAAAATTCACCTAGCACAAGTACCTAATACATCATCTGTTCAAGGCACCACAGTACTAGAATCACAGGAATAATAGAACTTATTTTCATGGACTAACAGATTTTAATACAGGGTTTCTCAACTTTGGCTCTACTGTATTTTGCTAGATAATTTTGCCGTGTCTTTAATAAAAATATGTATCATGAAACTTGTGTCATTTCAACATTTTTGGTCTAATTTAGTGATAATTATTTATGATCATCCTACTGTGTAGTCACCACATTTTTGACCATTCATAGGTTTTTCCGTCCTCTGTAAGTGTTCCTTCAGCAATGATTCTCCACTGTCAACCCAAGATCTTTGGTCTATACACCTTTGCTTGTCAGCTATTTCATGTAAGTGAGACCATTTAATGTTAGTCCTTTTGTGGCTTATATACTTAATTCAACATAACATTTTTCAAGGTTTATCCATGTTGTAGTTTGTCTCAGGACTTCATTTTTCTTTATGATTGAAAAATTCCATTTTATGTATATATATTTTTTCTATTCAATTCTGTTTCTATATACTTTTTACTTCCTTTACCCATTAGCTGTTGAGTAATGTATTTCTTTTCAATGTATTTGTATATTTCTTAGGTTTCCTTTTGTTGTAAATTTCTGGTTTCTCCTATGCTAGGAGCAGTTTGTAGGATTTCAACCTTTTCATTTTACTGAGATGTGCTCTGTGGTCCTTCCTGGGGAGATAAGTGGAGATGCTGCTGGGTGGTGGTCTGTGTATGTCTGTCAGATCTAGCTGGTCTATACTATCCAAACATCTCTTTATTCATCATCTTTCTAGATGTTTTGAGCAAGTGACATTTAAAAAATTTTGTACACTCAATGATTTATTCAGAGCAAATACTTGTTCTTATATTTTTATAAATTTATATTGGTTTGCATATGCAATTCATATACATTGTATTTCACTCATATACACTGTGTTTCACACATTCCTTTGTTCACATTGTGTTCCATGCAATCAGTCCCATACATTGTGTATTATAAAACCAATCCCATTGATCTAAGACCACTATCACCCATTCTTTTCAGGTCCCCAATGGATCCTTCCCAATTCCTTCACTCCCCCCCACCCCAACCTCTGTGACCTCAGGATTTTCCCTGACTCCCACCCTAACCAAGCAAGTGATTTTTTGTTGACTCCCTTACACATTATGGGCTGTTTAATTGTTTCCCTGACCTCCTTTCACTAGATGCCCCCAGTAGCATCTCCCACTTATGACAACTAGAAATGTCTTCAGACATTGCCACGTTCTTCAGGGAGGGAGCAAGGACGGGGCAAAGTCATCCCTGGCTAAGGGACATTGGTTTATCAAGAGAGAAGACAGTTAATAACTTCATTAATACACCTCCAAATAACCCTTAGGGCTTTGAACCGTGTACCTTTACAATGGCAGTGCAATTCCTTACCACTAAAACTCCAGAGCTCAGAGCTCCCTTATCTGACCTAAAAGAAAACAAAAACAAAAGCAAAAATACCTCAAACTCATTACTGTTGAGCCAGAACCAACACAGAGCTGATCCTTCACAGAGTCTTTAGAGGCTATAAATCCCATGGATGGAGACTGTGCATCCTTTTCCCATGGAGCAGCTGATGGGTTTGAACCATCTGCCTTTAGGCTAGCATAGTAAAAACCTGAACAAGACGGTTTTCTAGCCTTCTTATTTCGTCAAGGGGGTGGAGTGGAAAAGAGACTAAGAAATGTTTTCAAAGTTACAATCTAGGGTCCATTCAGGCCCACCTAAAAACTTAAATTCTGTCATAAACTTACAGAATGCTTCCCTTCCCCAATACCTCACCACTATACCAACAGGGCTCCAGTATGATAGGGTTTACAACTCAGAAAACGTCAAGATACAAACTCTCTACTAAGAAGGTCTTGGGGAGAAACCAAAGACATAAGAAGAAGAAAACAAGAAAATGGAAGATTTTGGCATCTATAATGACAGTAAACAATTCAGCAACTAGCCAGATTAATACAAATCTTTACACTAACAGCAAACTAATATAAAAATATTTAAAAACCCATTAGGGCAATGTATTATCACTGTTGTTGATAGGTGCCACTGACTTGAACATGACTCATAGTGACTCTGTGAACAAAAGATCTGAACCCTGTTCTGTCCTGCGCCATCCTCACTCTTCCTGACACACAAGAGCCCATTGCAGTAGTCACTGTATCAATATATTTGGTTAAGGGTCTTCCTCTCCTTTGCCAACCCTCCACCCTTCCCAACATCCTGTCATTCTCCAAGGAATAGCACCTCCTAGCAACATGTCCAAAGTATGTGAGTCAAAGCCTCATCATTCTTGCCTCTCAAGAGCACTCTGGCTGCACCCTGTCCAAGATATTTCTGGTTTTTTCTCTTGGTCATCCAAGAGAATGGGTGTTCAGGCCCTTCTCCAACACCACAGCTCAAAGGAGTCTATTCTTTTTCTGTCATCCTTATTCACTGTCCGGCTCTTGGATGCATAGCTAGTAATCGGAAAGACTATGGCCTGAATATATATTGAATAGACTGAATATATGTTAGTCTTCAAACTGACATCACTACTTAATAATTTGGAGAGGTCCCTAACTATAGATTTTTAGACTGCAATGCATCCCCTTATTTAGTGATTGCTGGTACCAAGGGTGTTGTTAACTGCGAATCCAAGCAAGATGAAGTTGTTGACAGTTTCAATCTCCTTTCCATTCATCATGATGCTCTATCTCCCACCAATGGTAAGAATCTTTGTTTTACTGACACTGAGATGCAATCCATACCGAAGACTGAATTCCTTGATCTTCTCCAACAAGTGCTTCAAATCCTCCTCACTTTCAGCAAGCAAGATTTTGTGATCTGCATAACACAGGTTACTGATGAGTCTCCCTCCAATCCTGATGCCACATTCCTCCTCACAGAGTCCAGCTTATCGGATAATTTTCCCAGTATATAGACTGAATAGGTATGGAGAGAGAATACAATCCTGGCACACTCCCCTCCCA